TGACCCATTTGAGGGTTTTGCACCAAATCAAGGTTAGGTTCTTAATCCATGAAGTTCTTGTGCCTTAGTGAGTTAATATACTTGAATTGTGCCTTAGCATGTTTAATTGCTTTGATTATAGTTTAAAATGACTTGATTGAGTGTATGTGAATGTGTGTGGATGGTGTTAATTAGATTTTATGAAAAACATGCTTATATATTGAGTTCTTATTTCTATTATATTGTTAACATGCTATAAATGATGTATGAAAACATGCTAAACTATGTTGTGAGAAATATCTTAGTATTATTGAAATTGAAAGTATGAGACACGCATACACATCATTGGGTTTGCATGGAAGGAAATCGTTTTGAATTGATAAAAAGGGAATTTTGGGAAGAAGTTTTTAATTAAAGTGTTTTATGAAAACCCGGTGGCCGCAGGGGTACCAAAGGGTTAAAAGGTTAATATAGCCTAGAATGAACTAGGGAAATTGCCTTAGCGTGGTTGAGCTAGATTGGCCCCATAATGATGCCGCGGGGGTACCAAGGGTCAGGGACACTAGCCAATCCTTCTCTTGTGTCACTGCGGGGTCACCAAAGGGCGGGTTATATTAACAGTTTGAAAGCGATGATTTTGAATGTGAAAATAGGGAGCGACATCGACATGCATTGCACTCCCATTGCATTATATTGTGTACACTTGAGATTGATTGTTATGTGACATTGTTCCGACATTGTATGATCCCCATTCCCATTGCTCTATTTTATGTTTGGATTCACGGGGACACAAGAGGCATGTCTTAGGTGTCACCTACTGAGCAAATTGCTCACCCCACATATTGACATTTTTCAGGTCATGGCAAAGAGTTGGCAGATGATAATCCACCACAAAATTGATGGAGTATTGGAAGCTCTTCATCTTGCTATTTTGTACTTAGGCCATTATTTTGTATGTCTATTGTTTTGGAAATGTACTAAGTTAACATTCATGGCCTTGTAACTTAAATGATGAATTTTATCCCTTATTTGGTGTAAATGAAACTAATGCAATCGTTGTGTATGTCTCCATGTAATTGTAGCAAGTGATGTTGTAAGGTGATTATATAATGGCACATTAGTTCATGAACGTTGAATGTTTATAATTGATGGTTTAGTTCAGGTCCGGGTCATTTTAAAGTTTCCCTCAACCATTTCAGTTCATTTTCCAAGTGCAGCAGGTCAATTGCAGGATCAGGACTCGAAGGAATCATTTCGGTCGACCAAAATGGCTCATCGATTGACCGAACTAATTGCAACTCTCGGGATCTCCTATTTCGGTCGACCGAAATAGGGTTCGATCGACCGAACCATCCTCTTGCTCTCAGTATCTCACCTTCGGTCGACCGAAGAAGAGTATCGGTCGACCGGTTCTTGAGGGCCTGCTTCGGCCAACCGAAGCTCCACTTCGGTCGACTGAAGTGCACCTGTTGGATTTGTTCTGCTCTTCTTTCCTTATCATCCTACTCTTGACTCTTGGGTTATGTTCCAAGCCTTTGGGAGAACTTAGTTTGATCCCACGTAGGATGTTTTGACGTTAGAAATGATAAGTTTGACGTAGATGACCTCGGATTCAGGCAAGGAGCCGGCTAACGGTTCGGACCTCCGGGTTCGGGTCGTTACATTATGCACAAAATATAATTTAAGGAGATTATTTATAAATTCAAACATAGTTCAAGGAATTTTTATTACACTTTACTTTTTTAAAAATGGTATTCCTTAAATATATTTTTTTGACTGTGACTAAACAGGTGATGATTGTATATCCATAGGAGACCACACCTCAGATATACACATCACAAATGTGAACTGTGGACCAGGCCACAGTGTAAGGCAAGTCATTTATATTTTCAGATCTGGATACCCTCTATAAAAATCACTACTGCCTTGAATTTGAAATTTGAAAAAAATTGAATTAAACTTCTTCCAATATCAAATTCAAAGCATTCGGCCAAACATAGTATACATTCATTCGTAATTAATTAAAAAAAAAAAAAAAAAAAAAAGAAGACCGACAAAAAAAAAAAAATTCCTAATTAATGTTAAAATGAATATCAAAACCCTATCATTTTGGGGCTTCTGTGGTTGTAGCATGGGAAGCTCAGGGAGGAATGGAAATGAAGTACAAGTGAAGAACATTACGGTCAATGGGGTTAACTTTTTCAAAACCACCAATGGGGTACGGATCAAGACATGGCAGGTTCGAACCATATATATATGAAAGAAGACTCAATCAATTATATATTTTTCTCAAATTAATTTAATGTAGTTGATTTAAATATATACTCTCTCCATCTCAATTTAAGTGTTGCTCATGGGCAATAGAAATTTTTAAGGAAACATGTGACATGCATTGTTTGTCTAAAAAATTACTAGTTTGTCCTTTTAAGTTTTGAATATTCTAAGTTTGAAATTTTAAATTTAAAGGACATATATGTAAATATGTGAAATATATTGTTTGAAAAAGAAAAATAAACTATTATTTTGGAACTGATAAAAAATGAGAAACATAACACTTATTTTGGGCCGAAGGACCAATAATGCTTATTAATTAGTTAAAGGAAAAACCAACTAATAATAGTAATACTTATCGCTACTTGTTTGGGTACTTTGGTTGGGAGAGGTTACGCACTAGGGATCATCTTCATTCTTCAAGCATTTAAACTTCACTCAAGTGAAAAATCCAATAATTATTGATCAATACTATTGCGATGCCAGGAATGCGTGCAAACCAACGGTATGACAACATGTCATATAGTGTGACATATATGTTAGTTTTCTTCATATTTGTTTGTAATGTTGATTTACGAGAATTAAATGTACGCAGTCTTATCTCTGCATTAATTATTTATATATATATATATATGTTAGCAGCAAACAGGAGTTGAAATAAGCGATGTACGGTATTAAGGGACAATTGGGACATCGATGAGCAAAATTGCTATCAATCTAAATTGTAGCGAAGCTGTTCCCTGCACCAGAATAGTGTTGGACAGTATGGAATTAGCACCGGCAACGCCTGACCAGCAACTCATTTCCAGCTGCAACCATGACTATGGAAATGCTGCAGGATGAGTTCACCCCAAGTCATGTCTCCTCTTGCATCATTAAATCAATTAATTAACTTGATCAACCCTAGCTAGCTGCCTTGTCTTATAATTATGCAAAGAGATACAGATAAGAATTATTAAAATCAATTACTAATATTGTTATAATTATGTCCTATAGTGATCAATAAATAAGGAGTAGTGATACTTGGACCAAACTCTCAAAGTGAAATGTCTGACCTAATTGTTTTGATTGGTTATATTTACCAAATATAAAAAAATGGACTTCCTTATATTTTACATACATGACCAATCAAAACTTGTAAGTAAGACAATTCACTTTGGCTGTATTCGACGGCATGGAATTAGAACTTTGAAATTAAAAAAAGAATTGATTCAATTTTCTGAGTTACTTATTTCCAATTCCACCAATTCCAGTACTAAAACTCCAATTCTATACCAGTCAAACGTATCCTTTAAGTAATCGGCCAAAGAATCATTTTCCATAAACGAGTATATCTCTCTTTTGTGCAGTTTCTCTTTATTTTTACGTATCTTTATATTGCTTATGCAATAATTCACATACCATCTAAATGTTTCATATCCTTACAAATTACGTACAAAATTTGACTTAGTACCGAACTACGTACGATCTCATTAACATTAATTAGACGTAGAGGATGATCGGCTTTCTTGGATTGATGTTGAACCCTATATTTTATATATGACCCCAAGCAGTTGCTGGTAGTTTTCTCTAACAATTCGATATATAGGCCATAAATGTGTCTGATCGATAAAGTTTGAAAAAACTTCTTCTGCTATGGCCATAAATTTGTCTGATTGAAATTTGCCACATAGTGCCACGTGTGACTTTCCGATTGGCTAAAAGAATTGAGTACCAGTATAGAAACTAGCACATGTATAGCTATATATATAATGGTCCTGTCCATGTGCAAGATCGGTTTTAGGGTCAAATTGAAGGCAAAATATAGTTATATACACCAAAAGAGAGACATGTATTATAATATATATAATCCGATGGAAACCACTATTTGATTTTTCAATTTATTCCTTGTATTGTTAGCTTCCTTACATATATATATATAGCCTTAGAAGCTAAAACCAAGAGAAGCAAGGTTGATTGTGTTCAAAGGGTTCTTAATTAATCAATAATCATCATGATCAAAACATATATGGGTTATAGATCCAATGTGAAAAAAAAAAAAAATTATTTTCTTTTTTCCCGCCATGTGTTTCCAACTCTTGTTTTACGTTTAGAATGAAGGTTTCTCAACCATGTGATATATCCATAGTACGTACTTGACATTGTGAATTTATTATGATCGATCAGTACATATTTACATTTAAGTAATTAAGAAGGGACTTACATAGCAAGTTACTTCATGCTGAGATTATGCTAACATGCAACTTATTTAATTAATCAAACCATGCACATTCAAATACAAAATACTACGTACAGGGACTTCAAATGATCATTTTATGTAAAAAGAATTATAATGAACTTCTAAAACAAGTTATTAGATCACAAGAATATGCCAATTCAATACTTAATTTCGATCATCGGTGCTTATAAAAGGAAGATGTCAAGAGGGAACTAAAGGAAACATATAATTAAAGCTGTTATTTTGTTGTATCGATGCTTGCTTAATTTCCATGTTTGATAGAATGGTGAGGTTTTTATGTTATGAGCATTTATTATTACAATAAACAGAATTAAGCAGAGTTTATAATTGGAGGGTGATTAGTTAATTATCTTAATTTTGGGGTGATAGTAGCTAATGATTTATGTTTTGCTACCGTTTAATACATCTTCTGAAAGAGTTAATATATAGAGTACTCCACAAAAGATTATATATATGTGCGTGTGTGTGTGACAATAGTGTATGGTAATATGATATGTTCTCATGGTTGGGGATGTCTCTTATGCAGGATTATTTGATCATATTCTTGATTTTGTCCATGGTGTCGTCCGGTTTGAGCACCACGACACCCTCAGGATATTTCAATGTCATCGAGTATGGAGCAGTTGGAAATGGAAAAACTGATGATTCTCAAGTCTGTATCTCTCTCTCTCTCTGTCTGCCTGTCTCTGTATGTGTGTGTCTGTGTGTGTGTTCAAAAGAATTTGAAATTTTCTGAAAAGCTTTGCATCCTTGACCTTGAAAACCTTGAATAAAGGCACTCCTCTTGGTAAATGTTGTTACTTCAACTTGTTCTTGCAATGTTTCTTTTGTTAGTCCATCAATTAAAACAGAAGTCACAAAATCTATGCCAAAATGTTTTTTTTATTGGTCATGCGAAAATCGCTCCTAGAAGGGTTTTTGAAGAGTTTTTTTGTAACATAATTTGTGCCATTTCAAATCATACTCTGAATTAATATGTATAAATTACAATGCATAATATGTATAGGCATTTATCAAGGCATGGAAAGCAGTTTGCCAAGTTCAAACAAGCAGGCCTATTCTCATTATACCAGCCAAGAAGTCATTCCTGTTGAACCCTGTAACATTCAGTGGTCCATGCAAGTCCTTCAAAATCCATGTCCAGGTACTATATATATATTAATGCTAATCTGTATGGTGATCAGGAAGTTATTGTAGCTCCTTTCAATTTATATATATGTTGCTTCATTAAAAAATTGGATGTCACAAGAACACCTTGAGGCCATAATCTTAAAGAGGCCAACAATAGCATACCCTAAGTAAATGAAGAATAAATTCAACCAATTAGTGGAGATTTATAATGATGAAATTCTCCTGCAGGTTTCAGGAAACATAGTTGCACCTAACCAAAAATCGGCATGGAATGGTAAGGCGACTAACAGGTGGCTGGCCTTCTCTAATGTCAATGGGCTTACTGTCAGTGGACAAGGACACATTGATGGCAGAGGCTCTGTTTGGTGGCCACAGCCTTGCTTACAGAATGTAATTCACTGCTACAATGTTGCTTACATTGTTTTATTTAAATGTCTCACGCATTATTTGTGCAAGCTCTCTTATATATTGCTATATGTGATCAGGGTCAAAATTGCAAGGCACCAACTGTAAGTGAAAGCCATTTTTGATGACCAAACAGAGCATTAAGAATGTTTATCACTAGTGAAATGCTCATATTTGTTATGTTTTGTTATGTACAGGCACTAACATTTTATAGATGTAACAATCTTCGGCTCAATGGACTAACACATCTCAACAGCCCAAGAGTCCATATAATACTTACCTCCTGCACTGGTGCAATCATATCTAACCTTCGGATACTTGCCCCCGAAACAAGCCCCAACACTGATGGCATTGACATCTCCGGTTCAAAAAATGTCCAAATTCGTAATCTTAACATAGGAACTGGTATTTTCTTCACATTCTCTCCACTCTCCTATATATCTTTTTTTTTTCTGCATTATTATGTATGTGCTATGTCATTCTTGCTACTTTTCGACATTAACCTTAGGCGACGACTGCATTGCCATTGGTGGGGGCTCATCGAATATCAACATCACTGGTGTTTATTGTGGACCAGGCCATGGTATTAGGTTAGTAGTATTACTATGTGTGTGTGTGTTTCTGATCACAACTTCAAATATAAATGCAACAACTCAGTACAAGTGAATCACAGTAATTTGGGGGACCAAAATGACTAAAATATGCAGTTTTTCAATCCCTTTTCTTGGATTTTACATTTACAATGCTTAGAATGTTAGTTTATGAAAAGAAATGTGTATTGAGTGTAGCATTGGAGCCTTGGGGAATGGAGGGTACGACGTGGTGGAAGATGTACATGTTCGGAATTGTACAATCAAAGGAACTTTAACTGGAGTAAGGATTAAGACTTGGCAGGTATATGATTCAAATTGGGAATAATTAACTAACCACTTGCATTTTTTCATATGATTTATATAATTTTTGTTTATATACATAAGTTTCGAAGTTATATATATATATATATATGCCTACTTGTTCTGCAGGGAGGGAGTGGATATGCCAGGAAGATCTCATTCCAGAATATCAAGTTCATTGCAGCTAATAGCCCCATCATAATTGACCAATATTACTGTCCTAGTCGAGTCAATTGCCAAAACCATGTAAGACTGTACAATTTTAATGTCCAATTGAGAAAAGTAGTACTCTCTCCGTCCCATAATAAATGTCATGTTTTGAAACCGTGACTCACTTTTACAAATACTAACATTATAATTTGTTTTTCATCTCTGGTTTACAATGGTGATCAAGACATCCGCGCTTAAGCTGAGTGACATATCGTATACTGGAATTAGTGGCACATCAGCGTCGGACAAGGCGATAGATTTGAGTTGCAGTCAGAGTGCTGCGTGCACCAACATTGTACTTGACCGCGTTTATATAAAACCTGCAGTTCAAGGGAGGCCAGTTTATGCAAGCTGCTTCAATGCTCATGGAAGAGCTACGCATACTAAACCTGCTGTGAAATGCCTACTGCCATAGTGGACCTTTGTCACTTCTTGTTGGTTGTGGTGGTGGCTTCGAGCTTAGAAAGCTGAAATGGATCTTGTTAGCTTGCAAATTTTATGAAATTGATGTTTAATCATTTTTATTAATACAGATTTATGTTTTTGGATTTCATTATATCTGTTGTTAGGCCAGTAATCTCGGAAAAATATCAAATCCTCCAAACACAATATCTATTGTATCACGAACTATGAATCAAGCTATATCTTGTTGATCATTCTCTATCATTGAAAAATCCACTAGTGTCATAATTTTTTTTTTCTACTACTATCACTAATTAATTAAGAATATAAATTTCATTTTATTTCTTTGATATCATGATTTATTACAACCACAAACCGAATCCCTCTCATTTTGAATAAAATTTCCTCAATATATTCTACTACTATCACTAATCAACCTCTTTGTTTTCTTTGATGCCATCATACTGCCAATTTATCTATCATATGAATTTATGGCGTCACATTCAATCTTATGTTTTCGATTGTAAAAGATATATATATATTTCCATTTTTTTTTCCGTGTGGATATATATATATATCACTCAACCATAGGAGTCAATGGTGGCCTTAGAACTAGCTGCGGCCTGCAGGACACCCTTCCCAATATGGATTTGCAGTCTTTCTGCGGTAAATAACTGACATTTTAATGAATTTTAGTCACTCAGATATTGTGTTAATTGCTTTAAATGGCAGGTCTTCAATTTGTCCACATGAATCAAAACTCATGCGATTTTATTAAACATTCCATTTATTATTATGCTTGATAAATTTGTTCACAAAGATACACTGAATTTCTGCAAATCACATCAAGTCTTTGTTTTTCTATAGTTCTCTGCTCACTCTGTTTTTGTTGTAGAACAGAGAGATTCAAGTGAGCCAAAAAATAATGGAGTGTGTATTAGCATCTGCTTGTTTCAAAATTACAGAGATATTTTTTTTTTTTTTTTTTTTTTTCTGTTACTTTAATATTATATTCTGTGTTCATGTAATATTATTTACTTTTACTAATGCATATATTGAATTTTATGAAAAAAAGAAATAAATAGAGAAGTAAATAATGTTCAGCTTGCTATAGACATTTTTTATTTACTAGGGTTTCCTGGCTCCCATATTACCATATTCTTAGTTTTAAGCATATTTATGTTGGGATCAAGCCGTGGAACAGATCAACAGTGTTTTTAGTGTGAATGTTTATCCCTTTTTTTTTTCTTTTTTTTTTTGAAAGATTAAGCAAATTATATTAAAAAAAATAAATTACATGATAGGCTGAAGGCCCGAATAGCCTAATAAAAGGCATACAAGCCCAAGAAGGCCTTTGGCCCACAGAAAAAGCCTAACCCAATGAATCTGCAAAATATCTTCAGTTAACGGCTAAAATATTGGTGGAGCAATTGGAGATGGTGTGGCGGATGATTCCCAAGTCAGTCCTTGTATTTATTATATATATATTGATGGATGTATAATTTAAATATCCATAATTAAGGGAAGATTGCTAAATTAACGCACTATTGAGATAGGCTCTACAGATTACGATAATGATTACAGATTGAGATAGGCTTTACAGATTACGATAAGGATTAAAGATTGTGATAAGGATTAAAGATTACGATAATGATTAAGTCTACAGATTACAATAAGGTAATTCTACGTGACATCTTAACCTAAGCTCTATAAAAAAAGCGGGGTAATCAACGTTTGGAGGTATGCAAAAAACCCTAACTCAAGTTCTTGATTTCTCTTAAGAGATTAGTTCGCACACTGACTTATTCGTCGGAGCCTACTCCACCGGTAACACACCGGTGCTTGTAGGATCACCTTTTCTTCTCTCTGTCCAGGAAGTTAGATCACATCCGGGTTGCGCAGAATCCATCATCAACAGTTGGCGCCGTCTGTGGGAACGATTTTAGTTCTCTAAATAAAGTATGGTTCGATTGCGATCTGGTCTGGTTGCTGGCGAATACGAAGCGTTGCAAACTTCTGATCAAAGGGACTCGACGAGGTAACCCCCCGCCGTCCCAAACGATCAGGAACGCGTCACAGCGTTGGAACAATAGGTTTAAACCTTAAATAAGGGAATGAACCAATTAGTCCAGAAAAATTCAATGATTCTACAACGCTTAGCCGACCTTAATGAGGTGGAGAATAATGAAGTACCCAATAATGACTCCCGTAGGATTGACAACGACGCTGAGCTTAGTCAAATAGGGGGTCAACAGAGCAGCCATCACCATCGGTCTCTTGAACGGAATTATACCAGGCTCCGTGCAGGTACCTCTGGTTGTGTTGGTGACAAGATTGAAGACGTCACTTATTTCAATCTGTAGATGCAAGATCTGAGAACTAGGGTCAAAGACGTCATGCTAGCAATGAAAGGGAAGGGCCAGGCCACAGTGAACGATCTGGTACAGAAGACCAACCTAACATTTAGCCTCGCTGTTATGTTATGAGTTGTCCTCCACCTAGCAAATTTAAGATGCCAACTCTTGAGAGCTTCGATGGGACGCGGGACCCTCTCGATCATTTAGAGACCTACAAAGCTCTTATGTATTTGCAAGTTGTGCCGGATGAGATTATGTGCAGGGCTTTCCCTACCACACTAAAGGGTTGGGCTCGTCTTTGGTTCAATAAATTAAAGCCAGGCTCCATTGAAATCTTTAATGAGTTGAGCAAACAATTCATTGGACACTTCATCGCTGGGCAGAGGCATAGGAGACAGCAACACACTTATTGAATGTGAAATAGCAGAAGGGAAAGCCTCTCCGTGGTTACATAAGTCGTTTTAACGTTGATATGCTGCAGGTAGAAGAGGTGGACGACAAGGTTGCCTTCACAGCCTTTATGGGAGGACTACAGACTTCTAAGTTCCTATTTTCCTTATCAAAAGAAGCCCCTACAAGCATGACAAAGTTGATGGTTAGAGCGTGGAAGCACATGAACGCTGAGGATGCTATGAATGCACGAAAAAACAAAGATGGTAAAGATAAGAGGTCGGAGAAGAAGAGGCCAACACCTAACACTAGGGAGGAAAAGGAATCGAAGTACAAGAAATTCTCAAACAACTAGGCTGACAGATCGTCTTGCCGCCCAGTGAGCCCAGGCAGGTATAATAACTATACCCCCTAAATACATCTGTAGAGCCAGTCTTTCTGCAGATTCAAGATAACACATCATTGAAATGGCCGCCAAAGCTAAAAGCTGATCCAACAAAGAGGTCTCTAGGTAAATACTGTAGGTTTCACCGGGACCATGGACATAACACAGAAGATTGTTTCGACCTCAAAAACCAGATCGAGAACCTTGTTCGTAAAGGTCATTTACGCAAATTCACAACTAGAAATGGAAAAGGAGGCTCCAACCCAGCCCGGGAGGGCCGAGATGATCGCCCTCCTCAACATCAACCAATGGGTGAGATCAAAGTTATATCGGGTGGCTTCGCTGGTGGTGGTGAGACAAGTTCGGCTCGGAGGGCTCATGCTAGGAGAATTCGGAGTTTTTTAGAGGTGAATGAAGTTGGAATGACAAGTCCTCCAACATTACCTCGAGTTGAGGAGCCGGTCATAACCTTTTCTGAAGAAGATGACAAGGGAATTCACCAGCCCCATGATGACCCTCTGGTAGTTTCCATGGTCGTTGCTAATTTTACTGTTCGACGAATACTGATAGACAATGGTAGCTCGGCTGACATACTATTTCTTAGGGCGTACGAGAAATTGAAAATTGGCCGAGAGAAGCTCCGACCCATGAAGTCACCACTGGTGGGATTTTCAGGCGACAAAGTATATCCATTAGGGGCAGTTACCCTTCCAGTTACTGCAGGAGCCAATCCAAAGCAGGTCACTGTAATGGTGGACTTTGTAGTGGTGGATTGCCCATCATCATATAATTTTATCCTGGGGAGGATAACATTGAATGCCATGAAATCAATCACGTCCACTTACCATCTCCTGATGCGTTTCCCAACTGAATATGGTATGGGAGAGCTAAGAGGGGACCAAACAATAGCTCGCGAATGTTATGTCGCCTCTCTCAAAAAACAAAATCGCAAGAGGCATTTACGATTGAAGGGCTGGAAGGGAAAGATAGACCAGACTTTCATAGAGCGGAACCTACAGAAGAGCTAGAAGAGGTCATCCTTGGTGATGGTGAGCCCGAGAAAAAAGTGAGTATAGGGTCTTTACTCCCCCCAGGTATCAAAGATGAACTTACTCAATTCCTCAGGAAGAATCGAGACGTATTTGCATGAAGACATGCCGGGTATAGACCCCACTATCATGGAGCACTGCTTAAATGTAAATCCTGACTTTAAACCTGTCAGACAAAAGAGGAGGACTTTCGTTCCAGAAAGGAATCAGGCTATATCAGAAGAGGTGAAAAAGCTCTTAAAAGTCGACTTTATTCACGAGGTGTACTACCACGACTGGCTGGAAAATGTGGTCTTAGTGAAGAAGGCAAATGGAAAGTGGAGGCTATGTGTGGATTTCACCGACCTTAACAAAGCTTGCCCGAATGACAGCTTTCCTCTCCCAAGAATCGATATGCTCGTTGAGGGAACGGCTGGACACGAACTATTAAGTTTCATGGATGCATATTTTGGATACAACCAGATATCTATGTACACCTCAGATAAAGAAAAAATGGCCTTCATCACTGATAGAGGTTTGTACTGTTACAAAGTAATGCCGTTTGGGCTCAAGAACGCTGGTGCAACATACCAAAGGCTAGTGAATGCAATGTTTAAGCATCAAATTGGTAGAAACATGGAGGTATATGTTGATGACATGTTGGTGAAAAGCTTAAAAGCTGAAGACCATTTGACTGACCTGCAGGAGACCTTCGAGGTACTTAGGAGGCATAAAATGAAACTCAACCCCAGCAAGTGTGCCTTTGGGGTTTCCTCAGGAAAGTTTTTAGGATATATGGTGAGCAGAAGAGGAATTGAGGCCAATCCAGAGAAGATCCGAGCAGTCATTGACATGAGATCGCCAAGATCAACCAAGGATCTACAATGACTAACAGGGAAGATTGCTGCCTTGAGTAGGCTAATCTCTCGATCAACTGACAGGTGTCTACCTTTCTTTCGTGTGCTAAGGAAGGCGTTGGAATGGACCCCAGAGTGTAAGTAGGCGTTCAAAGAACTAAAGCAATACCTTAGTTCTCCCCCACTAGTGTCTCGAACCATACCGGGAGAGGAACTATACATATACCTTGCAGTCTCCACGACAGCTGTCAGTTCAGCTCTGATACGAGAAGAAGAAGGGGTCCAAAGGTCAGTATACTTCGTGAGCAGAGCACTTAGGGGTGCGGAGGAAAGATATCCAAAGATGGAACAGTTGGCCTTTGCTTTAATTGTGTCCGCCAGGAAACTGAGACCATACTTTCAAGCACATACGATAATGGTCCTAACAGATCAACCCCTTCGACAGGTCCTATACAAGCCAGAAAGCTCTGGTCGACTGATGAAGTGGTCAGTAGAGTTAGAAGAGTTCGATATTCAGTATAAGCCAAGAACAGCAGTAAAGGCTCAGGTGTTGGCTCATTTCTTAGCTGAGTTTACCCCTCCAGAAGAGGAGAAACAACCCCAATTTTCGACAGAACCAGGTTTAAGTGAGCAGATGGGCCCAGAAGTAGTCTGGGACTTGTTCGTGGATGGGTCATCTAATGTTCAGGTTAGTGGAGCCGGGCTTGTTCTTGTCTCCCCAGAGGGAAAAAGTATACAGTACGCACTTCGGTTTGGTTTCAAAGCAACCAACAACAAAGCAGAGTACGAAGCCTTGGTAGCAGGATTAAAAGTGGCAAATGCCCTAGGGGTTGAGCAATTAAATATGTACACCGACTCCGAGCTGGTCGCTGGACAAGTTCAAGCGGAATATGAGGCACGAGACGAGAAGATGAAGAGTTACCTACAAAAGGTGAAGGAATTAAAGAATCACTTCCAAAGATTCTCAATTCATCAAATACCACGAGAAGAGAATGGGAAAGCAGACACTTTAGCCCGGCTAGCTACTGCATTGAACCTGAGATCAATAAGAATATACCACTGGAATATTTGGAAGAACCATCTATATCTCAGGAGAGACAAATTGAAGTACAACAAGCGATATTGAGTGTGGAATGGGCAGATCCTATCATCAGATATATCAAGGATGGGGTGCTACCAACAGACCGAGCAGAAGCTCGAAAGGTCAAGATGCGGGCAGCTAGGTATACGCTTATCAAAGTGGTGCTTTACAAGAGAAACTTCTCCATGCCGTATTTACGATGCGTTTCTAGCGAGGAAGCTGACTACATTTTAAGGGAGATCCACCTAGGAGTTTTTGGAAACCATGCTGGGGGTAGGTCACTTGCTAACAAAGCCATCCGACTAGGATACTATTGGCCCACTATGCAGAAAGATGCACTTGACTTCGTTAAAAAGTGCGACAAGTGTCAACGATTTGCCAACATCCCGAGACAACCATCAGAGGAGATGACTCCCATGTCAAGACCACACCTCTTTCCCCCTTAAAAGAATGAAGGGTCAGCTTCATCTTCTTCCCTCGAAAAAAGATGAGGGGTTAACTACTTCCCTTGTTAAAGGGTGAGCTGAGTGAAGCTCATATTAATCTACTTCCCCTGTTAAAGGGTGACCTGGGTGAAACTCATATTAATCTACTTCCCTTGTTAAAGGGTGAGATGAGTGAAGCTCATAGTAATCTACTTCCCTCGTAAAAAGATGAGGGGTTAACTACTTCCCTCGTTAAAGGGTGAGCTGAGTGAAGCTCATAGTAATCTACTTCCCCTGTTAAAGGGTGACCTGGGTGAAGCTCGTATTAATCTACTTCCCCTGTTAAAGGGTGACCTGGGTGAAGCTCGTATTAATCTACTTCCCTTGTTAAAGAGTGAGATGAGTGAAGCTCATAGTAATCTACTTCCCTCGTTAAAAGGTGAGCTGGGTGAAGCTCATAGTAATCTACTTCCCCGATGAGTGAAAGCTCATAGTAATCTACTTCCCTCGTTAAAAGGTGAGCTGGGTGAAGCTCATAGTAATCTACTTCCCCTGTTAAAGAGTGAGCTGAGTGAAGCTCGTATTCATCTACTTACCTTATTACGAGCTACGTGAAACTCGTCTTAATCTACTTTCCTTATTAAAGGGACGAGCCGACTAAAGATGTCAATAAAATCAAGTATAAAATAACGGCAGCATGCCAGCAGGGCAGCTTGCCAAATAAAGGCAGTATGCCAGCAAGGCAGCTTACCAAATAAAGGCAGCATGCCAGCAGGGCAGCTTGCCAAATAAAGGCAGCATGCCAGCAGGGCAGCTTGCCAAATAAAGGCAGTATGCCAGCAAGACAGCTCGCCAAATAAAAGCAGCATGCCTGCCAAATAAAGGCAGCATGCCAGCAGGGTAGCTTGCCAAATAACGACAGCATGCCAGCATGACAGCTTGCCAAATAAAGGCAGTATGTCAACAGGGCAGCTTGCCAAATAACGGCAGCATGCTGGCAGGGCAGCTTGCCAAATAACGGCAGCATGCTAGCATAACAGCTTGCCAAATAAAGGCAGCATGCCAGCAGGGCAACCTGCCAAATAACGGCAGCATGCCAGCAGGACAGCTTGCCACGGCAGCATGGCATGGCAGCTTGCCACATAATGGTAGACTACCAGCATGGCAGCTTGCCACATATACGAGCTGCCAATGTGGCACTACGACAAATATACAAGCTTGCCAATATACGACAAATATACGAGCTTGCCACATATACGAGCTGCCAATGTGATACTATGACCCCCGACTGTATTCGCGAAATGACAATATAAGTCAAGCTAATGGACAAGGCTCTGCAATTCTAACTATATATTATTGTGTGATATTTTGGAATTAACGTTCCGGTGGTTTGACAAGCAATCCTCCGAAACGAGGAACAACTGATGGATGTATAATTTAAATATCCATAATTAAGGGAAGATTGCTAAATTAACGCACTATTGAAATAGGCTCTGCAGATTACGATGAGGATTAAGTCTACAGATTACAATAAGGTAATTCTACGTGACATCTTAACCTAAGCCCTATAAAAAAGGCGGGGTAATCAACGTTTGGAGGTACGCAAAAAACCCTAACTCAAGTTCTTGATTTCTCTTAAGAGATTAGTTCGCACACTAACTTATTCGTCGGAGCCTACTCCATCGGTAACACACCGGTGCTTGTAGGATCACCTTTTCTTCTCTATGTCCAGGAAGTTAGATCAGATCCGGGTTGCGCAGAATCCATCATCAACATATATATAATGTGTATCAACAGCAGTAGATATCCAAGGTAAAGAGTAAAGACATACATAATAGTGCTTTTAAGCAGACATGTAGAGAATAATTAATCAAGCTTTTAAGTCTAGATAGTACTCGTTCACTACGTAAAAGACAACAACAAACAATCAAATCTCACCCACAAAAAAGAAAACTTTAAAGGGTCTTTGCCATAAGTCAGTACTAAAAAATAGAATATGCAGCTCATATAAGGTGCATCAAGGCAAATAATCGTCAAACAGTCGACCATAAATCAAGTTGTTAAAATCAAAATTCTATGCAGAATCGTTTTGGGCTCCGTAGAATCGGAATCGTAGAATCGGATCGTGAATCGTAAGATTCTATCAAATTGTAAAAAAACAATTGAAACTAACTTCTTAAATAATAAGATTCATAAAATATAACAAAAATGAGGCCAAAACATACAATAGTACGTATCCATGAGTTCACAAATCTCAAATCCTAACAATATTTTAAAGTCCGAATATAAATAAAAGAGAATGTAGTTCAAAATAATATGAGTTTACAAATCTCAAATCTTTACTCATCCATCTCCAATGTTAGAAAGTAATTTTTTTTTTTTTTTAACTTTATGCAATTTCCTTTCTTTTTTTTTTTTTTTTTTTTTTTTTTTTTTTTTCTTTGAAAAGTGAAGAAATAAAAAGACCTTTTTATCCACCAATCCAAGTGTTACGGTATATGTGACCTTATTAGTCACAAGTATGAAATAAATCAAGAGTTAGCACAATAAAATTAATGAATCACGTGTTAGCTCGATCTCATTATATTATCAGTTTAGACTACAAGATTATACCTTGGCTGGCATATCCGGCAAGTCTTTTAAGTTTTTAAATTATTTTTATTTTTTAATATATATGATAAACCTTCAAAAAAAATTAGTCAAATGAAAATATTGATCATGAAACTAAAATTTGCCTAAACCTGTTAGTCATGAGTATGCATCATTGAGATATAATTGATCATTTTAATTTTTTATAATTAAACACAAAAATATATTATGGAACATCCACATGCATGGTAAAAATAATTGATATATATACATACACACACACACACACACATATATATATATATATATATATATATCTTTTTCTACCACTAATGAAAAATAATTTATATTTTATAGAATAAATATTTAACTTTGTATACTATACTTGGGCCAAGCCTCTTTTATTTTGTAACTAAACCAACCAAAAAATAAAAAAGCCCAAAATTAAAGGCCCAAATAACCAATTTTATAGAATCGTGTAGAATCGTACGATTCTACCTCCGATTTTACGATTCTACCGATTTTACCCCCGATTCTACCAATTGAGCGATTCTGCTGCGATTTGACTCGATTTTGAGTGCGATTTTACGACTCAGAATCGCGATTTTGATAACCATGCCATAAACTAACAAAAACTCAAGAATCACCTCATATTAATTAACAAAGAAAGTGAAATATTTATTGCGAATTATCTGATCGATTACCAACTCTTTCAACAAACGTCACCAGGAACTCTGGGTATTACAATTAAAAGTAAAACAGATAATAAAATACTTTTGTTCTTCGATCTCCAGTCTAGGGTCATCTATCAAGGGTAAAAATACACACATAATATATACCAATTGAATTATCAACTATTAATCATGTAGGAGTAATTATAGAAACAATTTACCATTGTTCGTAGACCGTCCAAGCAGGTGCATAAGCTCTGCCCATAAACCTATCCACATGTATAGACTGCAGCCAATCTAAAAAGTTAAAGCAGACAGCAAATTTCATAAATGAGAGACCTACTGCAAGTAAAGAATGGAAACAATAGACGAGGAAAGGCAAAAAAAAAAAAAAAAAAAAAAAAAAAAAGAAAAGAGAATGGCAGCAACTACACATGAAGAGTTATATAAAGAAACCATAAGTGATGTTTGAAGAAAGAAAAAAACAGAGATTTTAATAGTTGGTGACATTCTAAAATCTTTACTAATGTGTACAAGGGAAAAGGATAGCCAACAAAAATAAAAAGAAAAAATAAAGATAAAAAGATAGAGAAGGGCAAGATTTATTTATTTATTTATTTTGAAATGGTGAAAACGTACAATCTTCACTGGTGTAAAAGGAAAGCCTAAAAAACAAAACATCATTTGTACGGGTGTTTATGATGATTTGCATTTGAAATTTCATTATGACATAGTAAAAGCACTAAATTTATCTGTAGTCTTTTGGTTATTTATTTCCATTTGGCTCAAGAATTGTCTATTTTGGGATTGATCGATTAATTTGGAAAATTTTGTGCTGACTTAAAATTTAATTGAGCTATTATAAACTACACCTTCTGCATTTTTTATTTTTTTTGGGTTAAACTTCTTGTTTTAAGAGTTCATTCTTCCAACTGAAGTTAATTCAAATGAGAATTTAAGTGAACCATTAGGATTTTCTGTCAACTGGTTAATGCATCATATATTTATATCTAAAGAACAATTTTTTTTTTCAGTTATATCTAAAAAACAATTTTTTTTTTCTTTTTCTTCAAACAAATCCAGTGATGGTTTTCTGTCAACTGATATAATAATATTAAATTAAATTAAACTGAAACAACTTCTTGAATTTTCAAATAGCTCTAATAGTTTGAATATGAATTCATCATCTATTTAGATAGCATATTGGAAGAAGTATAAGATGGATGGGCTCTTTGACAGATGTAGAGAGAGAGAGAAATGGGTTAATATACAAGAATTGAGAGGGGGGCAAATTCGGAAGACACAAAGGGTAGTTTTGGCATTAAAGAGAGGGTTGTTGTTTTTTATTTTTATTTTTTAACGTCAGAAGTCCTTATATCTTCACTTTACATACTACATGAATGTGATTTGATCCTGAGGGGTGTTATTTATACACTTTTGAAATTACAGGGACTTTTTTGTACTTCACGCAATATAAAAATATTTTATTTATTTTAAAAATGATGATCCAATACAATCAGAGCAGGTCAGACAAAATGGCTACTCGTGTTCTATGTAGTGAACGAATCTCAAATAAATTAAAAGAAATATTTTTATAGTCTGATTATCAAGCACAATTATATTATGTAAATGCTAGGAGTTAAAAAAGAAATAACAATGCCCTATTCTTGTAACTGAAATAAGAAAGTTGAGATGTATGATACAAGTGATTGAAAAAAAAACAAAGTTCATAATTTGGGCATTGTTTAAAAACTGTTTTTTTATTTTTTTTTATTTTTTTTTTATGTGCATAAATATGTAGATTTCATTTATTAAAAAATTAATACATTGTTTGATAACGAAAAAAATATTTGACTTATTTTACAAATAATAAATAAAAAAATATGCTTATTAACCTTAAATTATTTTTAAAATATTCAACACAATATTATAAATGCATCAGTATTCTTTTCTCTTTTTTTTTTGAAAGTTAATGCATCACTATTCACTACACATAAGAATACATGTTTGAGGTAAATATGAACTAATTGCTTCATTGCAATCTTTCAAATGAAATAGCGTTTGGGCTCTATTTAAGAAAAACTAAACAGGGGTTTGTGGAGTTTAGGGAGGTGATATGGATCAAGGCTTTGATGGGTCTGGGAGATGTTGTCTTGTCAGTTGTCACAAAGAGGGCTTGTGACAATAAAAATGTTGTAAATGAACTCCATTTGAATCAAAGTTAAAATCCACATTGGGAGCTAGCGCGCTCTACTAATTAGGTCACGGGTAATGTCTAATTATATCACTAATGATTTCTATCAAGAAAAAGGTCTCTCTAATTAGTCGTTTTATTTGTAGTCTTGGATGCCAAGTATATAGATAGACACAAATAATATACACATCAAAACGTTATTGAAATGCCGGGCACTCCATTTTAGTGGATGGAACAACCTTGCCCTCCATATACACATATGAACAGTGAGAATAACCACATCTGCATACATCATTGGAATGGAATGGTGCAATCACCTCCAACCTCCACATTAGTGCCCCTAGAATAAGTCCCAATACAGATAAAATTGACATCTCCCGCTCGACCAACATCCAAGTCCTTCACAGTAACATAGCAACTGGTACTTCCATATTATTGTATTTCTTTGTAGCTAATTTCCTTCCATTATATCACCCTTTTATATTGTATCTAATTAATATATTCATTCTTATAATTTAAACTCTGTTTCAAGTTTCAACTTTAGGGAATGATTTGTATATACCAACTACAATTATTTTTGTACATATTTCTACTTACAACAATACAACATCAAAACTTCTCGGCTCTGAAGTTTCCCATACATAAACGTCAAAAGAGCACTGTGTTGGGTGTACTATATCTCACATGACTCCGAGCGACCAAAAATTGTGTAACGATTATTTGCAACATTGTCATATACAAAATCACGTATAAAACTGCAACCATCAATAACAAAAACAATGCAATTACAGATCAATTTATGGTTTGGTTCCATTAGTAGCAAAATATAATAATAACAGAAAGGAATGACTTACAGTGGTACAAACTGAAGAAAGAATGCCAGCTGGGGGAAGGGTAAGTTTATGTATTCCATGATCTTTAGTACAGCTTCGGACTTAATATATGACCTGTAGTTCAAAATATTTTATCTCATGCACTCCTATTGGATACATTTTACAAATATATATATATATATATATATATATATATATATATATCTAAAACCAACGGGCAATGGCCTTGCGGTATCAGCCTCTTACGTCCCAAAGGGAGGTCAGGGGTTCAAGTTTCAAAAGAGACAAGCGTGTGTGAATACCAACTAAAAAAAAAATCTCTAAAGTTTTCCTCCTAAGTAAATCTTTGATATATTGGCAGCTCATGTTCAATGTCAAGACTCAAGAAGATGAAGGAGAGCAGAAATTTGGAACCTTTGGCGTCAAAATTGTTGTCGTTTTTCCTCTTTCCAACAATCAATGGCTCATTTGTTTTGCTCAGATGTTACAACATCAACTCCAATCTTTCTATGATACAATAAGGAGCTGTCATTATTTATTTATTTATTTCCTGTTCTCTGCCATTGACTGAGTATTAAAGAAAAGGAAAATGCATTTGTATTTAACAATTTATCTAAAAGTTGCACATGGAATATGCAACTGGTGTACTAGAAATTTAAGATTATAGGAGTTATTTGGTTTCTAAATGAAAGAGAAAAAGAATGTGTTATGTCAATCTAGATAAATTTTCCATATAACGTTCATTACCCTATAACAATGTTCTTAACTTAAAGAAACTTTAAGGATGATAACTGCATTAGGCCACCTTTCTCAAAATTTAATTACAATTCACCTAGTCACAACCATGGAACCTTGTTCTACACATACCTTTCCTTTTCAACAAGTACAACACTTGAAATATCATCAGGAGCTCTTCCACTTCTCCTTAGTAGTTTCATGCCCGCTTCACTCTGTAGAGCTTCAAACCTTATGCTTCTGACAATTAATAACAAGCATAATTGAAAGAAGGAATTGATTTCGAAGAAAACAATAGAACTTCAAACATGTTAAAAAAGCATTATCGATGGTAAAGTTGAATATACAAAGTCAGAAATACATCCTTTCTTTGGTCTAAACTATTTTATGGGCTTAACTAGCAATCTTCTTATAATCTCATATTGTTTATTTGCTGTTATACCGAAGCATGAAGAAGAAGACCGAGGCATCCAAAAAAATTTTTTTTTTTTTTTTTCTCCGATATACCGAAGCATGAATAAGAAGACCGAGGCATCCAAAATTTTTTTTTTTTCTTTTTTGATATACCGAAGAATGAACAAGAAGACCGAGGCATCCAAAATATATATATTTTTTTTTCTCCGATATACCAAAGCAAGAACAAGAAGACCGAGGCTTCCAAAAATTTTTTTTTTTTTTTTTTTTTTTTCTTTTTTGATATACCGAAGAATGAACAAGAAGACCGAGGCATCCAAAATTTTTTTTTTTTTTCCTCCGATATACCAAAGCAAGAACTCGTTGCGATTATATGCCCTAAAAGCAAAATTTCATGATATTCTCATGCATATAGCAATTTTAATTCATTAGTTAAAACCATATCTCATACATTGGTTATTGATCTGTGTGCATGTCCTCAAGTTATAATATAGGTGACTTGGGTACATAGAGGGGTTCATGTATGGAGAGATCTAAGACATTGGTTTCCCTTAGCTTGGATTGTTTGGAGGGGTGATAAAGTTGAAAACTTCATTTGGAAGACTGTAACACACTTTACTTCTGTAAGACATGGTGTTTTGTCTCAGGAGGTTAGTACTTGATCATCAAAGTAGTTGACTCCAAGGAATATAACTAGAAGACACATGGGATTGCTAAAACAATTTTCTATTAGTATGTACAGAATTATTTATTTTGAAAAATTCTTGTGAAAAGAAATTTTCAATTATCATAAAGTTTGAATTGGGGTGCTCAAGGAATATAAGATGTAAATATGTTATAGGTGGAACAATATTTAATTTCTCTTGGGCTACATATGGACATTAGTTAGTGGAGGGGCTTATCACCAAATTTTTAGTAGGATAGGGCATTGAGATCATTTTCCTAATAGTAAGGTGCAGTTACAAAAGGATAATGGGTATTTCTTTAATTAACTAGGTAAAGGAATTAAGAGTAACTCCGGATTCCTAAATACAATTGGAGCTAGAAGTAAGAGATCCTATTGATCTCCACCTCTAACCCAAGTACCGTTCTATATATATGATAATCACATATAGAGAGATTAATTAAAGTTTTTTTTTTATGTATCATTCTCTTTAGCACACTAGAGAGGACTTTGAGAGTTTCTCAAAATCTAATCTTCACCAACTAAAAGTCTATTAGTTTATTGCTTAGGTCATAAGGTGAAGATCAAAGGTGTCTTAAGGCTGATTCGGATGGATTAAAAGCTAGAGTCTTCTCCTGAGACAAATGAATAACCAAATCATTCAAAGGTGAGTTCTTTTTTCTCTTGAATGGATGATTTTATGAAAAATGACACGGAAAATATCTGGAAATAAGTTTCAAAATCGCTTTTGTTTCCATCAACAATCTGCACAATGATGTCTTCAGAAGTGAACTCTAGAAAACATTTTCCTCTTCTAGATATAGGTATCGCCGCATTCTTCTGGTAGTTATTGCTAAATATTGGAACATGTTGAAAAAACTTATTTTTCAAAATTTCCTTAAGCTACATAACTGAAGACAGGATTAACAAGCACTCTAACTGTATGAGATTAGCATCATGAAGAAAATAATAATTGAGCAAAAATTATCTACTTTATTTTTGGACCATGTAATTTGAAGTTTTTCCCCCGTATCTTTTTCAATCCTTAGTTGCATACTTACATTGTAAAATCTGTTGCAGAACTATCTTCCAAAGATACAAATATTTAATGATTTATTAGTGTCTGGCGTTGATATTTCATCTAAGAACAATGTGAGCAGAAAGAAAAAAATAATGCAAAAGGGAAAATTGTATAGTTGGATGTTATGGAAGAGTTGATCATCAAATGAATCTATACGAGAAAATAATAAAACAAATAGGAGTATAGACCTATTTCGATCATTATCACGAACGAACTTCACACCTCCATTACACAAGTTGCATACACCTATCAGAAAAAGCAAAAATGTGAAGTTAGTCATGGGAATCCACAATATGATCCATTTGCAGGGACTAAAAACAACTAAGTAAAAATTATTCAATAAGAAGACATTTTAAAGAATCTGAGTTGCACAATAAATAATAAATTGTCCCAAGAAGAATTTACTCACTCTAAGTTAGAAACTAATGCATATGTGCAGTATGGGAGCACCTAAGTTTTTTGAAAAAAATTATCCTTGTATGCTCACTCATGAGCATTTGACTCCAAATTTTGGGGGCAATCCATTTTTTTTAATAAATTTACGGTATCTGGTCACTATATTCTAAAATTTTCAGTTCTTAAAATTAGAAATCCATAAACCAAAAGAATCCCTATCACTATTTAAGAGAATTGGAAATTCCTCAGCACATTTTACCTACCCAAAACTGAGTTTTGTAAAATTAATCCTTTTTGGCTTCAAAATCCGTTTCCAAAACCCTCAATCAAACATAACCTCAAAGATCAAAATGAAACCCTAACTTTACGTTTCGTATGTTCCTGCAACGAGCAGTTAGGGTTTGGAGATTCTATGTTAATCCTTAGAAATTAAATTTCTCGGATGTGATTGAAACAATATGTATGTATGTGTATACTGATAGCAAAAGTAGATACAGTATCTAAATGACATAAATAGAGTAATAAATATGATGTACCGTCGAATAACATGATGGGTCTAGAGTCTCCTTGGAAGAAGCTCGATGTTGCCTCCGCCCAATCCACCGCCTCGCCTCCACGAGTTGCAGGTGATAGGGTGGCGAGAGTAGTGAATCTGGTGACCAGAGGGCGGTGACCTCTAACGTGCGCCGGGAGTGACACGCTCAGTCGTGCGCACCCAGCAGCTGCAGGGACGAGGAGCGCCATGAACGATGAGATAGCTTGGAGGATGAGCGAGTGGACAGAGTTACCTCCCTTCCAGCTCAGTCACTCAGTTCCAACCTAGTACTACAATTAATAAATGTCTCCACTACTCTCAATTCTTCGGGGTAAATAAGAAGTTTCGTCTCTCCTTTTCATGCGTTGTTAGAGGGACCACGTGTAAACTCATAAACCTCTCTCTCTGCGTAATTACTCTTATTAAATGAAATTAATATATTCTGCAAATCCCCAGCAATTTGTATGCCAAAGGCAAAAAGATAATTTTTTTTTTTTATTTTTTATCCCAAGGCAACCAGAACAAAGAAACAGAAAAATCTAACACAAATCATCAGCAAAACTTCTCCAACGGAAGCCGGAACCGATGACCATACAGACTCAAAAAATTTAAAAAGAAAAGACCATTTACATATTTCATGAGCCACTCTATTACAATATCGTGGAACTCGATTCAATGAAAAATCTTCTCCATGCTGAAGAAGAACCTTGATATTGCGAACAATCGTGGCCAAAACTTCTTTTGATGAGCACAACTTCATAATTGTTTGACAATCCCCTTCAAAAATAATTTTAGGCCGGCCCCATTGTAAACAAACTTGTATTATCGCTCGGAGTGATAGACCTTCAGCTACCACTAGTGAGGAAACATCTTGAAATAGCCAAGAGCCCAAACTAAGAACACGCCCTTCATGATTTCTAGCAATATAGCCACCCCCACATGATTTTGAAGAAGAACTGGAAGTTGCGTCAACATTAACTTTGACAAAATCATTAGGAAGAAAACTCTAGAAAATTCATAATAGTTAAAAACGGCCTTTTCAACCAGAGTTTGAGGATCCACCATTTTGAACGAGAAAATGAAGTTGTTTATGTTTTTCCACAAATGCCAGTAAATGTATGCTGCTAGATTTGCGCATTCCATAGAACAATCATCATTCTTTCATAGTTCAACCAAAGCAAGCCATCTCATCTGCCAAATTGTCAAATTGGACTTTGAAAAATCCAACCGCAAAGGGCTTAATTTTCACACCCTTTGAGCAAAATGCAGCAACACAGGAGATGGTCCACTGTTTCCTCTGTTATCCCATATATCTTACACATAACCTCTGCTATAATTTTTCTTTTTTTTAAGTTGCAATTGACGGCAATTTTTTCGTGGACACATTGCCATATAAAGAACTGCACCTTCCTGATAGTTTGCAAACGCTAAATCTCTTTCCAATTTTTTTCCAACTGAGATGAATAGCTACAACCCTCCCCTGATGATGCAAAAGAATTTGAAATTTTCAACACATCTAAAGCTAAAAAATAAGCACTCTTAACTGAAAATTTCCCACAGTAGTCAGTCCCCAAATCTTTATGTCCTGAGCATCTTCAAAAGAGATGGGAATTTGGAGAATTCTTTAACCGTCTGTGGGGTGAATAAATTTAAAACCAAATCTCACTTCCAACGTCTAATGTGTCCGTCTATAAGATCTCCCATCAATTGAATATCATTACCAGATGGAAGAGATGACACGTTAAAATTCTTTTTCCCTGGTAACCAAGGATCATGTGAAATTTGAAATCCATATGTAATTGATTCTTCAACTGCCTTTGGACTTGGATCCTCCAAATTAAAATCAATTTTTTATATAATGACATGTGTTATTTAAGATATATCTACGGCTTATGTTAAATCACTTCAACTAATTTAATAAAAGTTAAGAAAGTGCACCGTTTTAAGATAAATTTTTTTTAAAATACCTTAACTATTTATACTTCAGTTTAAATCTGAATCTGTATAAAAATGCATCTAATTATTACCAACTAAATATTTAGTATTTCAAAATAATGAATATATTCCTGGGTAAATGTGAATTTTTTTGTAAATTTTACAAAATTCATCTAATCAAACACTCTGTATAGTATTAAATTTTAAAACTACTATTCAAGTTTCTTTAATCAAACCACTTTCTTCATCCAAGCCAATACTATTATTTCATAAAAGAGAGAGAGGGAGCAATCTTTTTTTAGAGAAAAGATGATAGATCCTACCGGACAGAGATATTTACGTCTTCGTAAAGGTTTTTACGTAGTTTTGTAAATTTTATTAAATTAACTGATATGGTTTAAAATAGGTCGTAGATATATTTTAAAGACGCATGTTATTATATAAAAATTAGAGGAATTTTAACTTAGAGGATCTAAGTCCCCCTGCTTATACACCAAGTCAAAAGCTTAAAAAAAAAAAAAAAAACTCTTTTAATTCTCAAAAGGTTCCTTATGAAAAATACGTACTATATACAGATAAATCTCCAATTACCATCTCTCCCCTCCAAATTCCTCAACATGAACAGTGTTATACAAACATGCACATTCGCATGCCTTGTTTAGGGAGCTAAGTCAAAATTATGTTATGCTATCTCCTTAGCAAAATTTTCCACCAAATACTCTTTCTGTTTCAAAAAAAGTATTCGTTTTTCAAAAATTTAACTTTTCTAAAGAATATTTTTTAATTGTATTAGTGTTGAATGAGTTACTAATTTTATTTCTAATGGGATCTCAGTGTTTATTTTTTATATTTTTAACGTAAGAAGGTTAAATTGATAATATATTAACGTTTCAAATGAGACATATTTTGGGATGAATAAAAATGAAAACATGAACACTCTTTTTTTTTTTTTGGGATGGAGAGAGTAAAAAATTTGAACAAGGGAGAAAATAAAAGGAAAAAAAAAATGGTTATGAGCTCATTCAATTAATTGACAAGCAGGAAATTACGATAAATGGAACATATAAATTATGAATAACAAGAATTCATCCCCGGCATTAGTTTTTGGGTAAATTGTAAGCAAAAGTGTAAAAAAAAAATATGTATTATTACAAATATGAAAAATAACTCTGGACTATCTCGGGTTGCAAATCAACCCCTTATCTATACAAAATGTTGCAAAAAGGACCATCTCAATTGCCAAATCATATTTTTCAGCACACCTGTGTATTTTCAAGTAATGCTTAAATTACGCTTTTGAATGACTATTATACCCCAGGAAAAGTGCAAAAAAATTCCCCTGAACTATCAAGAAAGTGAAAAATAACCCCCTGAACCATCTCGGATTGCAAATCAAATCC